TGAGATAAATGTGAAGGTGTGCAAAATGGAACAAACACACAGACTTTAAGGCTTTAATAATTCAGAGACATATTGAGGAATTAATCATCACTACTGATTATGTTTTATTTATTTTTTGTTAGCTCTGGACTTAATTCCCACATGTGTCTTCCCACATGTGAGGGTAATACAATTGAAGGTGTAGAGGAACAAGAGTGCTTTAGTAAAATGATGCTAAAATGTATGCGTGTTCAGCGGTAGGAAGGTTGTGATTTATTGGGACATATCACACAACGGGTTAAGTCTCCTGAGGTGTTGTTCTCTTCCTTCTGCTCCGATCAAGAATCTGAAGCATCTTCTTCCAGACCTTCAACAGATTAATCTTGCACAGAATTTGAAGGAACCTAGGAACAGATGCCTGACCAGAAACAAGGATAAAAGTCAGGGAGCCAAAAAGATTAAAGGACCCTCAATGTCACTTTCCAATAAATTCATAATAAGTTATTCCTTTAAAAAATTTTACTTTATTTTTATAAAGTAGTTCACAATATTTGATTACATCTAATATTCAAACACCAATTCCACCACCATTACACCTTCCCACCACCATATTTGCTATGTTTCCATGCTGAACCCTAACCCCTGCCCCAAAGCAGAACTGAAATAATTTATTTTGTACTGTTTGTTATGAATAAACCACTAAAAATGCTCCAAAAAAGTTTCCTTAGAGGAAAGTGTGTGAAGATTGTTGTATTTCACCAAGGAACCATTATGCCCTTCTATAAGAGATTACTGACCTGTGGTTAAAGGTTGAGCCTTGTATGCATATATATATATATATATATATATATATATATGTGTGTGTGTGTGTATGTGTGTGTGTGTGTGTGTATGTGTGTGTGTATGTATATATACATAGCACTGTACTGTCCTCCCGTTGTTCATCAGTTTGCTCAAGCGGGCCCAGTAACGTCTCCATTGTGAGACTTGTTACTGTTTTTGGCATATAGGATATGCTATGGGTAGCTTGCCAGGCTCTGCCCCACGGGTAAGATATCTTGGTAACGTGCTGGGCTCTCCAAGAGGGGCAGAGGAATTGAACCCCAGTCAGCTGTATGCAAGGCAAATGCCCTACCTGCTGTGCTATCGCTCCAGCCCATATATATATATATATATATATATATATATATATATATATGTGAAAATGTATTTCCCTCTAAGATGGTTGCCTTCTACTTTAAACCCCATCAAATGTAGTGTGCTGCTCTTGAAATGTGAGTGATGTGAGATATGAGATTCTCAGTAATAGGTTCACTCATGGCTGAGGCTTGACCCGAGTGTATGGAAAACAGCTGTGAGCATGGTGGTGGTTGAGTTCTAGAGGTTTTTCAGCTGCCGGGGCTGGGTCCTTTGGGGAGAGGAGAGGCCTCACCCGCCCCCCTCCGGGGTGCTCTGAATGAAACAGCCTGGCATGGGGTCCAGAGGCATGGTTATGGTGAGTCATTTTATGATCTCTTCCAATAAATATTAGCCTTTTTTTCACATCCACAGTGCCCCTTTATTAGACATGTTTAAGAACTTTTTCTGATTTTATTTTATTGATTTTAACTTTTTAATTTCATTAAGGAGTGATAGCACAGAGGTAGGGCGTTTGCCTTACACACAGCCGGCCTGGTCGACCTGGGTTCAATTCCTCTGCCCTTCTCCAAGAGCCCAGCAAGCTACCCGTGAGGTATTTGATATGCCAAACACAGTAAGAACAAGTCTCATGATGGAGAAGTTACTGGGCCCGCTCGAGCAAATCGATGAACAACGGGAGGACAGTGCTACAATTTTTTAAGGTAATTCACAATATTTGATTACATTTAATATTCAAACACAAATCCCACTACCGTTACACCTTCCCACCACCATATTTGGGATGTTTTCATCCCAAACCCCAATCCCTGTCCCAAAGCAGAACCGAAATAATATATTTTGTATTGTTATGAAAAAACCATTGAAAGTGCTACAAAAAAGAATCTATAGAGGAAAGAGTGTGAAGTTTGTTATATTTTGGCAGGGGCCATTAAGACCTTCTATAAGATATCACTATCATGTTGTTAAAGGTTAAGCCTTGTAAACTTTTGTATATATATATATATTTGTAAATATACATATGTATATTTATGTATATTTCACTCTATGATTGGTTGCCTACTATTTGAACCCTGTCAAATGTGGTATGATACTCTCGGAGTATAAGTAGGGTGCGGTGGCATGGTGGTCCAGAAATAGGTTCACTCGTGTGTGAGGCTCAGCCCAAGCGTGTGGGGAATGACCTCGAGCATGGTGGTGGGTGAGTTCTGGAGGTTTTCAGCTGCTGGAGCTGGGTCCCTTGGGGCGGGGAGGGCTCTCACCTGCTCCCCTCTGGGGCGCCCTGATTGAAACAGCTGGGTGCAGGGTCCGGTGTCATGGCTATGATGAGTGTCATGTTATGCTCTCTTCTGGGAGAGAAGGATATGCGATCTGGATGGCAATAAGTATATTCTTTTTTTTTTTGTTATTGCTTTTAGGGTCACACCCGGTGATGCACAGGGGTTACTCCTGGCTTTTCACTCAGAAATCACTCCTGGTGGTGCTCGGGGGACCATATGGGATGCTGGGAATCGAACCTGGGTCGGCCACGTGCAAGGAAAACGCCCTACCCGCTGTGCTATTGCTCCAGCCCCAATAAGTTGTTCTTATGAGAATATTGTGAGTAGAAAAAATAATTTTTAACTACAGGGCATTATGGATAGTGAAACCTCATAGGTCTTTTATCTGGCACAAGAAATGACCCAGAGTAGGTGTTTCTGAATACTCATTATTTTGTTCTTACAGACTTACTATCATCAATCATTTCTTTTGGTCTCTGTGTTTAAACGTAAGGTGGTTTCCTTCTACATCTTCCAGTTATTTCCTCGTTATTTCTGGTCTAGGAACAAAACGTGATGTGCCTTAGCTCTGAGATACCTCTCTCCCTCACAGATGATTGATCTGTCCAGGATGATTTGAGGACAAGTAGAAACCTTCTGTGAAGTCCTATTTGACAACTAATTCAGAGCTTCTTCGATTTCTTGGCTGGATCACCAGAGGCCTCAACCCCTAACACTTGGAGCAGTGTTTGCTCCAAACAAACCAAACCTTTGCTTTGGTTCAGTCGACTCAACCTTTCTAGACAAGGGGTTGGAAACATGACTCAGCAGTAGGGCACTTACTTGCCTTACATGTGTGAGGCTCTGAGTTTGCTTCCAGGTTCCATAAAAACAAAGCATTTCTAGACATACCTCATTCTCCACCGAAACAGTGCAGTATTTGTACCCGCACCTATACCTAACACAGCTGTGAATCTGAGATGCCAGTGGGGAGGAGGAGTCCCTTGGAATTCTCTCTCCAGGAGATGCCCCATAGGCCAGTAATTTGTCATTCTTTCTTGCCCCCAGAACCCCATCTCATAGTGACCTGAACCGTATTTTTCCATGTGAGGTCCAACTGGGCTGAGGGGTAAGAGTGGTTGCCAGAAGCAGATTGAGTAAGCAATAGAAATAGCGGTTGATAGAAGAGCCTTGCTGTGCGATGCTGGGGAAGGGGTTGGAAAAAAATCAACTTCCCTAATGGTCCCCTTCTAGCTCCAGCTTGTCGCCAGTTTCTCAACTCTGAGTACCTCTTCGACAGAGACAGTTCATTCCCCAGGAGAGTTGTCTTCATTGCATTAAATTTAGGCAGCAAAGAGGTTTCTCTGAAGGAGGTCACACTTAAGCAATAATCCCCAGCACAGGTTATGTGACCTGGATGACTGGATGTTAGAAAGTGGCTGAAGATTGTCATCCACATGCCAGGGGGTTCAGACTTTGCCCTCCTTCTGTTCAGCTTATTACTGTTCTCTCGCCTTGCTTCTGTCCCTTCTGGTCTCTGTAAGTGCCACTGTCACCAAGACTGGGCTCCGGGGGGAGAAGCACATTCTGATCTGTTCCTCACTTATTCCCTTTCTGAGCAGCTGTACTGGTCCAGCGATACAGAGGACATCGCTGTCTGACAAACACACAGCGATGTCCTCTGTATGTCTTCGACCCTTCAATCATACTTAAAAAACAAACCACCAATTATTGCTTAAGTGTGACCTCCTTCAAAGGAAGCCTCTTTGCTGCCTAAATTAAATGCAATGAAGACAGAACTCTCCTCCTGGGGAAGGAGCTATCTCTGTCTTAAAGGGACTCAGAGTTGAGGAATTGAGGGCAAGGTAGAGGTAGAAAAGAACCATTAGGGAAGTTGATTTTTTTTTTTTCAGTTAGGGAAAAAAATCAAAGGTGAGGAAGACAATCATTCTTCTAGGACACCTTCTCCATCACCTCCAAAGATTTGAAGGACAGGGAAGTGATGAATAAGGAGTGGCAGAGAACCCCCCCCCCCCCCCCCAATGGTACAAGGAAAAGCCTGTTTGGTAGGAGTAATTAGATAACTTCTGTGGGTCTGGTTGGCTCCCCACAGCGGCTAAATTTCCTGGGGTTGAGTAGTGGGAGAGGCACCCAGAAGGGAGGGGAATGGCGATGAGTCAAACACCCACCCGGACCTCTTCTGGTTATATGGCTTCTAGCAAGTCAACCTCTGTACTTCCGTGTTCATTTCCTGTAACCTGAGGCTGGGTAAGAGGAATTACTAATAACAAGGTCCTGTGAGGAAGCTGCTGGCATCTTATATGAGGAGAGGGGAGAGACTAGCAACCTCCTAAAGCTCCCAGACTTCACTGTGGGGTCAATCACCTGGGAGGGAAGCTCTAAATACCCATAAGCTTGGCCTCCCCTCTAGTTCCTGAGTCATCCTGGTGGCACTCTTCAGTCCGGGACCGCACTCTGAGAAGTGAAGCTATGAAGGTTGGCTGCACGGAGGGGAGTGGAGAGGTAGGGAGTGGGGCAGGAGGTAGTGGTATGTGCATGGAGGGAAGCTAATATTTCACTTTATTTTGGTGCTGTTAACCAAGAGGAGGTTATCCCCCACTCCCATGTCAGATGAGTAATGTGCCAAATGTGTCACAAGATTTAAGGGAGGACCATGTCACACCTGTGAACACCTAATCATTACGCTTACGAACCGGAAAAGGATCCTAACCAAATGAGGTTTAAATGCCAAAAACTGTTGAGAAGAATAATATCACTGAGTTCTATTCTTCTCCCTGTTACATCTGATAATTATACCCTTAGGAATAAACAAATACAGAATTTTCTGATTAATTTGTTCTAAAGTCTTTTGCATCATCAAGTAGAGACAAAGTAATTTGGTGAGTAGTAACTGAAATCCATTTTAGCTTGCTTAAACATAAAAGGAGAATTTATTCAGGGATGGGAGGGAGCTGTTGGGACTGCAGTTGACCCCAGCTTGACCTCAAGAACTGGGGCCTCCCAAACCTTTAATATTGTTTGTCCTCTACTCCTCATGCCCCACCTTGTGCTCTGTAGATCTTTTTCTGCTGTACCATGGCCCACGGCTCTCCTAGGCAGCCTATTTTCTATATTTTCAAGATACTACCATCTGAGTTCCAGATTTCTGGGAGAGCTTCTGAGTTGTTTAGCCTGAGTCACTTAGTTGTCCAATTACCTAAGTTGACCCAATCACTTCTGCGCAGTTAGGGTGGCTGCCCTTGTAACCAAGCAGACGCAAAGTGGGCCTTTGGTGCAAGATGGAACAAAAGAAGCAGCAGAAAGACTATGCAAGTGACTGGAGGGAACTGTTCCGGTTGAGCTGTTGCATTCTAATGGAGCGCAGAACTGGTCTTGTTGAATGTTAAATTCAATGGAGTTATTTTTAGAACATGTCTGGAACTATATGTTGAGCATGTTTTGTGCAAGTAACAGTGGTTTAACAAAACACCTAGAAAACTCAGAGGCAGTCATTGTAGGGGAGCGAAAAAACTGTCATGCCAAAATATGTAAAAAGTTAACTTCAGGAGAGGGGCCTTGAAGGCAGAGTGGATATTATATTTTGGAAAGACATTTGCCTATAAAACTCTCCTTTTATGTGGTCTTCCTCGGTGTACTTGGGAATATGTCATTTCCTTTTGGGAACGTTATTGGTGCATACTTTTGTTTCACTGTGCCTTCCCAGATGGTTTTTCTAACTGACCTCTCCCTTTACCTCCCCAATGTCTTCTGCATTACTCAAACTTATTTTATAAGCTTCTGGAGTTGTGTGGTGTGATTTTTTTTAAAACTTATTTTTGCTGGACTTCTTCCATTTCTGTTGGAGGTACATGTGGCTTCATAAATTACCTCTATTTTTTTTTTTTTTACTTCTCTCATGCTTTTTTTTAAATGTAGGAGTACTGCTATTCATTCAGGCACTGATTAGCTGATTAAATTGGGCACGAACTCCATCTTACTTTTTTTTTTCATTTCTTATAATTTTATTTATTGAATCACCTTGAGAGCAGTTACAAAGCTTTCGGGTTTAAGTCTCGGTGATACAATGAAACACCCGTACCTTCACCAGTGCCCATTCTCCATCTCCCAAAATCCCAGTATACCCCCAACCAGACCCTCTCCCTACCTGTGGGGCAGATGATTTCCACATTACTCTCTCTTTACTTTGATTACATTCAATATTTTGACACCAGACCCACCATTATTATTTGGGATTTTACCCCAACACTCAGATCTGCTGAAAAGGCAATCGTAGACAATTTGTTTTCTGTTGCTGGTTATGAATAACATATGATTTCGTGTGGCTGCAGTATTGGCCACGCGATTTTGAAATTCTGACATTTTAACAATTAAATCTGGAGGGATTTCTGCCAAAACCTGCTGGGGTTCGAGGTTTGTTCCTGAGTCTCTGGAATCATGGCCATTAAGCAGCTTGATCAGGAGCCAGAAAGGCTGTTCAGGGTCTTGTTGGGACGGGGAGGAAAGGGCCGGCTCCACCCCCATCCCGGGAGTCCCCATGTGTCTCATCACTGCAGGCCCAAACCTGACTGTTCAATGGACTCTGGAGGATGGCAGCCACCAAGCCCCCTAAGGGGAGCAGGCGGAGGGACAGCACCCTTTCCCCCCCCCGGGGTGGCCCGGCAACCTACTGTGGGGTTCAGACGCATTTCTGCCAAAAGCTGTTGGGTTTCAAGATTTGTTTCTGAGTCTCTGGGATCATGGCCATTAAGCAGCTTGATCAGGAGCCAGAGAGGCCATGCCTCCAAGTATATAGCTGAGCCAGAGGTGGTTTGTGGGTGTGTCTCCCACATACCTAACTTTTGGCCGTTTACTTTCTTGGGAAACTTTGCCCCAAGTTTTTGAGGTCTGGCCAAAGGCATAGCATCAATTTTGGGGTATCTGGAAGTCTGAAGGTGCCATCAGGCTGCTGATGCAATCTCCTCACAAGTACAGATTGACCTGCTGGTGGCACCATACCCCCTCTCAATGCTAGTTTGATTATTTTTCCCCAAGAAACTTGGAGAATACAGGAAACTATCTCCTATGTTCTGACACCATTTTGTCTTTATTTTGATGTCAGTGGGGTCCCTGAGTGACTTATGAGAAATGGGGTTGAAGTTGGTGGTACCCTATGGGTGGCTTATGTGAGGTGGAGAGAAGAGAGATGGTAACTTTCTGCTAATATACCCCTGCCATCCTGCGACCCACTGGGAAGGCTCTTTGTAGGAAAAGAAAGCCAGTTCTAGGTCTCACCCAGTCTTTACAGGTCTTTGTCTTATCTCACAGAAAAGAATTTCAGGAATAGGAGAACAGTGAAGTAAAAGCAGATTTAACTTGGAGGCTTTTAGGAAGGGGAAGGAGAGAGAGTGAAGGGAGAGAGTAACATGCTTAAGAGAGAATGCAGTCTTCTCCAGAGACAGAGAGAGCCCCAGTACACTCCTCAAGAGGGGAGATGCGGGCGACACATATGCTTGGGTAGCACATGTGTTCAGCCAAGTGGGCAGAAGCAGAACATGGGCTCAGACAGTATATGCATGTAGGGTTTTTCCCAAGCGGCCTTACATGTGGCTTCTACCTAGGAAATAATCCATTGGGGGTAGGGGTGGGAGTGGTGAATGGTTCTCTTTGAAATTCCTTTCCTTGGCCTTTGTTCCTGTTGGAGCTTCTCTTGGAGAAGCGTTCTCTGGACATGTTGGCTCCAGGTGAAGTCTTATCAGGCCCTGGTTCCTTTATTTACAAGGTGGACTTTTTGTTACTTCAGGGCTATTGGTTTTATTACTTCCCAGGAATTCCATTGTCATGGGCCCTTTGCTGTTTACCTGTCCACATCAGGGTCCTTCATATTTCTATCACAGAAAAGAATTTCAGGAGATGAGCAGTGAAGTATCACTGTCACTGTTATTGTCCTCCTGTTGTTCATTGTTTTGTTCGAGTGGGCCAAGTAACGTCTCCATTGTGATACTTGTTACTGTGTTTGGCATGTCAAATACGTCATGGGTAGTTTGCTAGGCTTTGCCGTGCGGGCGAGATACTGCCCCAAACTCTGATCCAACCCCACCAAAAAATGGAGTGATGAAATGAACAGAAACTTTCTCAAAGAAGAAATCCGAATGGCTAAAAGGCACATGAGAAAATGCTCTCTATCACTAATCATCAGGGAGATGCAGATCAAAACAACAATGAGACATCATCTCACACCCAGAGACTGGCCCACATCCAAAGAACAAAAGCAACCGGTGTTGGCGCAGATGTGGGGAGAAAGGAACTTTCCTTCACTGCAGGTGGGAATGCCGACTGGTTCGGCCCTTTTGGAAAACTGTATGGAAGATTCTCAAAAAATTAGAAATTGAGCTCTCATTTGACCCAGCAATACTACTTCTGGGAATATAAAAGTATAGTTGAAATGACATCTGCACTTCTATGTTCATTGTTGCACTTTTCACAATGGCCAAAATTTGGAGCTATTAGTTTTACTTACCAAAAATTCATTGCCCTTCTCTATCTACCTGCCTGCTTCAATTTTATTAATGTTGCAGAAGATCAGAGTTTGGGGCGGGGGAACTCATAAATTGTGTTGAGTCTTGGCTCTCTGGCCAAGTGTTGCAGGTGAGGATGAAGTGGGGAGAAAGAGTGCATTCGCTCTCTACTTAACCCTTCTTGGTCACCCTGGGAAATAGATCTGACATGGGTCAGGACCGTTAAAATCTGCTTTGAGCACTTATGCAGCATGGGTGTTAGTGGCCCCCAACCCCATGAAACAGCCCTCAAGTAGCACCTGAAATCCAATTAGTCTGCATGGTGCCAAAACTAGTCCTCACACCTAGATTCTTGGGGAGCCATGGGCTCAGGTTGGAGCGAGGAATTGCTCTTTTGAGGAAAGGAAAGTGAGTCCTAACCTCTGCCCAGGCTTTCCAGGAATGTTGCCTCCCCTAGCAGAGAATTTCAGGTGAAGACGAAATAGTGAAGTAAAATAGTTTATTGACAGAAATTTACTTAGAAATGTAAAGGGAGAGAAAGAGAGAAAATTATTCTGAGAGAGCATGGGTTTCTGCAAATAGGAAAACACAGAGTAAACTTCTGGTTGGGTTGCATGCCAGTCTCTAGAGTGAAGCATGAGCCCCACATGTGCTTACAAATTTGGTTTCAGAAGAAAACTTCTTCTAGATGGGTTGGCCTGAATTTCTCTGCATACAAAAAAGTTAATTGGTGTGCTATCACTGGGTAAGAGCCTTGGACTCTAATGGTTCTATCATATTCTTATTCATGACCTTTAGATCCTCTAGAAGCTTCTTCTGTGAGGGAGACCACCCTTCTCTGGGTGGTATCTCAGTTTCTGTATCTGGATAGTTGTTCATTTACTTCATCTGCAAAGAGCTCAGTATTTGCACCTCAATGGTCCTCATGCCTTTTGGGTTGTTTCAGGAGTAGGCAGTTTCTTCTAGTTTTATTATCCCTCCCACCCCTAACTATTACCAGGGCTCTTCTTATCTATATGCTTGCAGTATTAATCACTTACGTGAACAAAAATTCCTTTCTTGAAGGCTTTTCATAGGATTTCTTTAGGGACTTAAGTGGTTTTGTTGGTTTCATGTATTACTCAGTTTAGCTAAGCACAAGGTTTTCTGGTCTTGTGTGGGCCAGACTCTAGAACCAATGTGTGCTTTTACAAATGAACTTCCAGAGAGT